CTATCTATCTATCTATCTATCTATCTATCTATCTATCTATCTATCTAAATGTATTTTATTAATGTATTTATTTTGAAGGTATTTAGGCTACAAATCCTTTGTATTTAGTGTTTTGGTACATCTTAGCTTTGCCACATCCCTTAGAACCACATAAGACATTATGGGCTGTTAAACTGCAACAGCTGGTGCATCTGAAGGGGACAGACAGAGGTGGCTCCACAAGTGACAGTAAACATAAATAAAATGTGTCCAGATTTGAAGCTGTGGTGTGGGGGCAGTCTGCTGGCTGACCTCTAGCCCTGTCAGGAGGACCCTTAACTTTCTCCTTTGGAATCTGCATGTGCAGCAAGGCTGTAAACCACAGGCCTGATGCCATGAAACTGAAGAAGCTGCTGAAAAGCCAAAGCTGGCTTCAGACATACGTCCTGCAGACAAGCGGCGAGGATCAACAGAGACCACACTCCTCACCCCACACCTCCCCAAACCCCCAGACTGTGATATTTGATCGGGTTTGACGCGTCTGCATGCGTCTGCCCACAGCGCCTCACCTCCTTCGCCTACACCTCGCACTCCCGCTCTGGGGGAAAGGATAAGTGGTCCCCTTGCTATAAATACAAAGCCTGCATGGAAGCCATGGCAGGAGGAGGCCAAAAAAGAGCAGGCAGGGCGAGGAGCATGGGTAAGTAATAGATGAAAATTAAACACCTGTTGAAAAGGTGTCAGAGACTGAAGCTCACAGAAAAGGAAAATTTGTGAACTGTCAGCTTGATCTTTATCGGAGCATCATTCATCCTCAAAGACCCTTCAAATCAAACGTGTGCAAATGTGTTTAAGACTTTTCAGTTTCAGCACCCTCTTTATTCATGTCCCCACCCTTCTAAATCTGTCTGCTCATCCTTATCCACATATCGCCCACTCTGATTCTGAAGAAAACAGGTGGTGCCCTCACACACACACACACACACACTTCAGGCCTGCCTCTCCTTTAGCAGAACCTGTGGCCAAAGCTATGCAGAACATTTCCTTCTGTCTTGTTGCAGCGTCTTCAAATCGAGGAGCAGAAATAGCTTGACATTCATGTGAAAGTCAGAGCCATGGGATTCACAAACAGTCCATGACCAAAGTGTCACTGTGGCATTATTCCTTCATTTAGCTTTTAATCACTAAAGAGGAACTAACCAGGGAATCATCTGTTTCTGTTGTTGGTTCAGTATTCTTGGAACTTAATGTCTAATGGTTGACGGGCTCAAATCCACTGGAAAAAGCACGAGTTTCCTTCTTGGAAAGGAAAATTCTGCATCATAACTTTATCGTTTACTCGTGCAGTGAAATACTTGAGAATTTTAGTGTTTTTTATTCCACCAAGCTGCACATTTAGACAAGTATAAGCTACATTCAACAGAAAATTTGGTAAAAGTGCAAAATATGGAAGCAGATAATGAAGCAGTGCAGGGTTCAGCCCTGCAGGGTGCACATGCTCACAAACTGCAAACCAAACGCATCCATAAAAACTCAATGGCTGTGATTTGGAGGGAGAAGTGATGTTGAAAGTTTGGCGGCCACGTTGCGCGCGCGTTCCCTCCTTTCAGTCGCTAATGAGAATGATAATTTGTGACTCCACCGATGACCCCCCCCCCCCCCCCCCACACACACACACACACACCTCCTCCAATAGTGACTTCTCCCAAGGGACGTGATTGCAGCAGATCCCTGAGGGACATCCAACCCTCTGCAGGAATCCTTTTCATCAGTAAAGAGAGAGGGATTCCCGCCTGTTTCCATTTATGTCACGCTTGGGAAACCACAGATCTTAGGACATGAAGTTCAGTGGGTTGAGCAACAATTTAGGTTTGAAGACTGAAGCGTCCGGTTTCAGGGTCATTTCAACCGCTGCTGGTTTTAACTTCAAGCAGAAATTGACCTCTTTTTGTTAGAAAACCCCTCATTAGTGAGCTTAAACGTCTCATATTGTCTCTTTACTTGAAGCAAACGCTGTCGAAATGAGATTTTGTTCAAATTGGGATTCGAGCGCAAAACCGGTTCTCCAAACAGAAACACTTCCATAAATTATGAGCATAACTTCTCTCCTGGAAATGATCCAACTTCCTCTCCATCCCTTCTGTTTACATCCTAACAGGCGCACTTCTTGGCGTCTGCGCGCGCGCATGTGTGTCCGCCTCCTCACCTCCGCAGAGCAGCTACACGACCCGACCTGCCAGCGGGGAATTACTGACTGGCACCGAGCCAGGCCGCAGGCAGACTAGTTCGCTCGGTTCTCACGACCTCAGCTCCACAAAGGCATCTCTGAACTATTAAGTCAGAGACGAAGGCAGGAGGAACAACCGCAGAACCCACACATGCTGCCAACTGGTGTTTCAGAATGCCTCCTCTTCCTCCCTGCAGGAGGAAGCTGCTGAAGCATCACTGGCAGCAAAGTTTCGTTATGTTTGTGTCGGTGTCACCTGCAGGGCACACCGGCACCGCGAAGGACCGAAAGTGAGAAGGCAATTACAACTGTAAGAAGAATTACAAGTTTTCAGTGATAAAACGATCATATGTCTGATTACGCATTTGGACAATAATAATAATAATAATAATAATAATTCATCTTTTAAAAAATGGATCAATGCGCGTCTTATGAGCCCCAAAGAAGATGATTACTATTTGAGTTTTCAGACTAAATATGTTCATCAGGAACGTAGAACCACTTTCAGCCGGACTTCCTTTTGGCCTGTGCCAGCCATGCGCGCAGCAAGGCGCGTCGTCGGAGTATTAAATGTTTAAGGGGGTTTTGACCCGCGCTGTAACCTAATCCCGAGTTAAGGGGCCTGTTCACCGCAAGTGGCTGACACACTGCTAGCGCCATGCCGCCTGACTCAGGGAGGGACAAGACCCTGGCTTCAGTTCCGGAGCCCACTCACACGGGGGGGAGATAGGTTTACGCAGGCGGTGGAAGAGGAGGAGAGCTTTTTATACTCGTGAAGGAAAAGATGCCAGGCCATAGAGTTCTAAGTTCACGTGAGAGAAACCTTTAAAGTGATAATCGAGCATCAGTAAGTTTGTCTAAAAGTTTCCCTCGTTCCCACCTCTGTTGCCGGTGGGAGTGGAACTGAACAATTGATGCACAAAAGAAAGAGAGGATCCTTCCATATTCTTTCGCTGAGGCAATCTGTTAGTGACATTAACCCCCGAGCGCATTTCCCAGGCTCATGAATAGGGTTTAAGACTTCTTAAAGCTCCCGCTGCATACAGGATGAGTCCCCTTTCAAACTTTTAATTACCTTTATGGCAATAGAAAAATTCACTCCCCTTTGGTCTGAAGGAACATTCTACAAAAAAAAAAAAAAGGGGGGGGGGGGCAGATGGTGACAAGGTGGCCACTCGAAACTTTAGATCGAGGCTGAAACTGTGAACGATAAGTTTATTATCTCGCCACCGTGGGACTTTTACGCACAACTTTTACGCACGGTCTCCAAAACACAAGAGGCAAAGCAGCCTGTTTATTAATGCCCCAAATCATAAAGTTGACAGAATCAGACTGAACAATGATGTCAAAAATCTCATTTATTAAAACATTTGGGTTGCCACCCGACTTCAGTTTTTATTTTCTCTTTTTAAACACAAAACAGAATAGAAAACACAGCTTTGGTATAACAATCCTTAACACCTCTGTACAAAACTAAACCTTTTGATAAAAAGTATATAACAAAAGCTTCCTATAAATCTTTCATCTGCATCTTTACCACTGACATCCAAATGTTGGATTCAATAATAATAATAATAAAATGAACCAAACATGCGCTATTAAAGCAACACCTGTTCCATAAAACGAAACATTGAGTGGAGGGTAGTGACGGGTCTGAGGTACCATCGGGAAAAACGTCACAGGTTTAAATCCCTGCAACAGTTGTGTGTGCAGTTCAGTTTTTTAGAGTCTGCTCCTTTCAGCTACCAGGGCCGCCACACGGGCTCGCTGCTCTCAGAACCTGTGCTCACCCCCACTGGGCTGACCGCCTGGGGTCCCCCGGAGAAGGACGTCATGCCGTGGACCGGGGATGTTGCGGTCTGTGCGGAGCTGCCGTGCATCGGACTGGAGTTCACCGCGACAGGAACCCCCGCGTTGGCGTACAGCGGGATGACAGGAGCCGTGGCGGAGGTAAAGGCCGGGTTGGGGATCAGGAAGGCGAACTGTCCGTCTGTTGCGGGCACCAGCTGGAACCCACCAAAGACCTTAGGGGACACGGCCTCCACAGGGCTGAGCTTGGAGCCCATGGGTGCGCCGCTAATTGGCAGAGAGGACGGAAGCTGCACGTGAAGAGGCTGGGCCAGGTGCGCCTGCTGGGTGGGGGTCTGCTGCGGGTAGTTCACGGGCATCATCTGGCTCATGCAGCTGGACAGGTGGCTGAGTAGCCTGGACCTCACCTCCACGCTCACCCCCTCGGAGGTGGACAGGAAGCGGGTGACCTCGTTCATGCACTCGTTGAATCCGGCTCTGTATTTGCTCATGACCGTGGCGTCAGCTGAGAGCGCTGCTGGCAGAAGAAGAAGACATCATATTAGTGACGTTTTGTGCGGCTTCATCTAAAAAGTGCTGGTTCTGATGATCTGTTCCGACCCGTAAAGATGAAAGGCACTTACCGCTCATCTGCACGCGCTGCAAGTTCCTCAGGTGCTTCACTGTCATCTCCAGGATGTCTGCTTTTTCCAACTTGGAGTGTCTGGAGCTCTGCAGGAAACAAACAGGAAGTTGAGTTTACACTTGTTAAGACAAGAAAAGAAAAAGAAAAACCATGACACGGTATAAAGATTAGATTTAACTCACATCTTTCTTGAGGGCGTCCAGGATGAGAGTCTTGAGCTGCAGAAGGCTCTCATTTATTCTTGCTCTCCGGCGTTTCTCCATAATAGGTTTGGACGACTATAAGAACACAAAACAATTCCACACAATAAATAACTTGTTTACATATAACATCTGATTAGGTTAGTCTGCATCAAGTCAAACTTTTCAACCGAATGCAACTTTTCTCGAACTTCCTCACTTCAACAAACACAACTTTTTGAGTTAACAGATTATCAAGAATAAATAATATTCTTACTTTTCTGTGCTCGCTGGCATTTTTGGGTTTGTCCGGTATGTGTGATCCGTTAGCAGGAGCTCCGGCAAGAGGAGATGCCGTCTGCTTTTCCATAGTGTCAGCTGGCATTATGGATCAAAGCAGGCAAAAAAAATAAAATAAATAAAAAAGTAAATCCTTTTTGTCAAAAAAACAAACAAAAAAAAACAAGAAAAAACTCAAGAGTCACTTTAAAACATAAAAGGCTCGCGTGCTGTTCCGCTTGTTCTCACAGAGCTGTCATCTGAGTCCGCGCTGCGTGCGGTGCGCCACGCACACTCACTCAGCTCCAACTGGTGCCGCTGACACACGCGCCGCCGCCGCCGCGGTACTTATAGGCGGCTCGCGTGCTCCCAGTTCGTGTGAAACCTTCTCTGCATTCTTTCCCACACTCGCCTCAGCCAATAGCAGCGAGGACTCACCCATTGGGCGCGGGGCAGACCGCTGATTGGACAACACCCCCGCGGGCCGTCAGTCACGCGCTGCTCAATCAGCCCTGCAGGGACAAACAACAAAGCAGAGCGAGCGGCGGCGGCGGTCCGGCTCAGGAGCGATGAGGAGGGGAATGCGCTCCATGTTTGCTTCCAACTTTGCTCTCCGCGCGTCAGAAATATTATGCAGCTTGGTGTGCGTGCGCGCGCGCGCGCTTGTGTGTTTGAAAAACTTCTTCATCCGTGTGCGCTTTTAGCTGAAGCACTTTTGTCTTAATTTAAACATATTTTTCACATTAGGAGCACCTCGTGACGCGTCAGGTGCTGTTTATGTTAATGCAAATAATCACCTTCACCTCATAATTAAAAATAAAGCAGCTACTTTGTCTATTTTAAGACACCTCGTGCGCCTCCAAGTAGGCATCTGTGATGGCACGCGAGGCGGTCCTCAGCCGCACGCACCCGAGCCAATGACATGCAGGCACATTATGCAAATGAGGCAGCGCGCCCTCTGATTGGCTGTGCGGCTCTCTCTGTGTCAATCATCCCCGAGGCAGGAGCCGCTCTTACCCAGAGGGTAATGATGGAGTTGGGTGTGATGATGGAGACGGGGCGGGGGGTGCGGAGGCTGCACATCTGTCCGTGTGCCGTTCGCGCACAGTTTTCTCCGTTCCGCGCTGAGCACGTGCCTTAACTCGAAGATTGCAGCCTGCAAACTAAAGAGGCCTCATAAAGGCCGGTAATCTGGAAACATTAGTCATTTCACTTGAGTTTTAAATACTAGAATAGAATAGAATAGAATAGAATAGAATAGAATAGAATAGAATTAGCTTTTTCTAGTCAGACGAGGTTGTGTTCTTCTCTGAATTTATGTTCTAAAGATGGTTAAACTTTGAATCAACCAGGTCATTAAATAATAACAGATAGTATTTTCTGGACGAGTTAAAACATTTGAAAGAAGAACATTAGAGACCGTGTAATGATCAAAACATCAGACTGCTGTGGGTGTTCTAAAACTTGTGTGGTGGAGGAGAGCGCCATCTGCTGGTCCCTTTTGTAAAAGTAAAGTAATGCAACTGGAAAGATGTCAGGATGGCGGGCACTAATGTTTTTGCCTGTTTCAGTGTTAGTGATCGCTTGTCTGACTGTTAGCAAAATATCTCACGAAATACAGGACAGATTTTAATGAAACTTGCGTAAAGCAATCACTGAATGTGCATCTACAACGGATTAACTTTTGGAGTCAGCTTGATTCAAGATGGCCACCACAGCTCATCAAGTTTAACCAATGCAGAACGGACTCTAGCTCACTTAATCTTGTGGATATTGAGCAACATGTTGGTGTGGTAGTAGCTAAGAGTCATTCCCAACACGTACTGTGAGTGTGGAATCTCCCAGTACTGCATGAGATTGTGCAAAATGTTTTTTTCTAAGGTTTACACAAAACAATTCCATCATTTGTTTAAAACTCAATTTTAAAACGCAATGGGTGATATGCATTTCTTCTAGAAATCTTATCCAGTTTATAACTATTTTTATTTTACATTTATTGTATTGTTTATGATGCAATGCATGAGATTTACTCTGCTTCTTTTCAAAGTAATTACTTTTTCAATGCTTTTTTTAAATGCTTCTAATTGTTAAGGTTTGGAGAATTTAATTTATTTCTTATAGTTCTAGTCATTTTTAAGAGTTGTTTTCATTGTGAATGAAGTAAAACCACCTATAGCATTAATCCTCAGCAGAGTGAAGGAGAGTTATTTTATACTCATGGTCTTGACATGACCACAAGATGGCACATCCCTGCTTCCCCAGAGTTAACTTGTAATGAATTTGTGACACAAAATGCACATAATATAGATGCTGTTGTGTCTGGATGTGTGATGCAATCACAAAAGACTAACAAAAAGACTGAATTGCAGCTGAGAGAAAAGTACAGAAATAAATGCTTGATATTTACTCACTAAATTAATAATATGTAAGCTCGTATGACATTTAGGAGCATTTTGTACAAATACTTTTTCAAAAGTTTTATAACTTTGTAAGTCATTCTGTGCCTTGAATGCAGAATACTTACAGGTTTTTGGAATAACTTCTGCCTTCAAGATCTTCAGCGGTGAAAATTGGATTTGCAACAACACATTGCCAAACCAAATTCTGCACATGTTGCAAAAGCTCACAAAGCGGTCTAGTTGCTAAACTGACCTGCCTCCAGTCCAGACCACTCACCCTCTCCCAACATTTGGAAGATTGTTAAACTAGAAATATGATAAACTCGTTTAAAGCACAAAACCCTAAGGACTAAAATAACTTATAAAGTGTGTGGATAGTGTGATTACTCAAACACAGCTGCTGCTGTAGACCAGATCCAGATGAAAACTCACAACAGCAGCTGTGACACCGCAACAATAGAAGAAAGAATTTACAAAAGAAAATATGTCAAGGTAGTTTTCAAACTGATCATCATCATCGTCTGTCCTACAAAGTTCAGTCAGGTCATCTGGACAGTTTCTTTTTTGTTGAGACGTTTCGTCATTCATCCAAAGGACTTCATCAGTCCGAGGAGCCCCAACAAACTGAGTTCCTCAAGCAGCACACCCACATGGACCAACCCGTTTGCTGGTGATAAGATTATTTCTGGGGCCTGCCCTCTCCCCCGTCGACTCCTCTGAGGCAGCCATAGCCAAAGTGGTTCAAAACATCAAAGTTCATGCTCATTAATCCAGGTAAAAAAATCCAACAAAGTTCAGTCAGGTCATATGGATGTTTTTTTCTCTTTTTTGTTAAGACGTTTGGTCTTCAACTAAAGGACTTCATGGGCACAAGGACCTGAGTCTGGGACTCAGTTTGTTGGGGCTCCTCGAACCGATGAAGTCCTTTGGATGAAGAACGAAACATCTCAACAAAAAAGAAACCATCCATATAATCTGACTAAACTTTGCTGGATTTTCCACCTGGATTATTAAGCATGAACTTAGTTATTATAGTCTGGGTTTTTTCTGTTATTTGTTGAGTTTAACTTTTTATTTTCACTGTGTGGTTTTTGTTTTATTTTTCTGTCCCTTGCATTTTGGTTCAGCTCCCCATCTCTTGCCATTTCTCATTTGTACTCTCGTCCAACCTCCTCAGTGGTTCTTCAATCAGTTTACCACTTACACCCGTTTCCAATAGTTTCCCCTCACCTCCTTGTCTTATTTAAGCTATCTCTTGTCGCCACCGAAACTGTTGTTCAATGTCTTGACCTGTCCTCTCTTTCCCTGTGTTTGCTGTCATGTCAACCTTTTGTTTGCATTTATTTAATAAATCAAGTTTTATTTTACCCGAGCTCATCGTGACTGACTGCATCTGGGTCCTGTCCCTGCACCGATCATGATAATCATGGTCTGTTACACTCTTGCAGCCAGTTGTGTTCTGCAGCAAGCTGAAAGTAATAACATTTATTAAGCCCTGCTTCGGTCCAGTCTTAGAGGAGTAAAAGTCATTGTTCAGTGGCTCTTGTGCCCCCATGGGTGAGCTCTGCTGGAGCATGCCGGACGCTTGTTTACCCAGGATCCTGAGTCTCAAGAGCCAGCTGTGTGTACTTGGGCTCACATGGCCTTTATTTGCTTTCGAATCCGCCCAAATGAAGCAGACCTAATTCTACAGAGTGTCCCAGAGATTACACAACTGCTCCCTGCAGCGGCGGACTTAATGGGGTTTTAATTTATTAATTCTCTAAATGTGAAGAAACACCTGCTCAACCCGATCTAAAGTCAGACTGAGTTCAGAAAGTTTTCATGTTTTAATAATTGACCCCTTTTCATTTGTGCATTTCAAAGAAAAGAACCGAAATGAAAGAAACTTTCTGAGTGACTCTGTCATTAGAGCATCGTTAAAGCTGATGCCAACGTTTCTGGACAGAGGAATGTGGAGAACAGAAACTGCTGACGGTCCCCATTCACCAGACAAGAGCCAGAAGTACTTGCCTTTGACTTGGTTTTATGAGACGGAGGTCTGCAGGAGATGTCGGGGGAGATGAAAGAGGCCCAGAAGGAGAGAGAAGCTGTGTTTGCAGATTTAGCAGAGTTCAGTAGTCTGTTGTGCACATTCGCTCAGTGCTCAGCAGCTCCTTTAGACTGCTGCCTGCTTAATTTGTTGTTGTACAATGAGTCTGTGCACGTCTCCAAAGCCACACGGGAGAGTCAATTATATCTGTATTAGTTGGTGTTGGCTGGGCAATCCCTTTACACACACTCCTAAATCAAGTGCTATGAAGGTGATGTGTTTCCAACAATGGATCTCCAATGCTCAGTAGTTACAATGCCTGTTTGGGTGGCTTTTGATTTGTTTCAGCACACAGATGCTGCAAAAAAACAGGATGCTGAAACAGTGGAATTATATTTTTGTTACTAATGTCATTAAATCCCTTCCTTGGTGTTATAAATAAGAATTTTTTTAAATTGCTTCTTTTTCCAGCAACCAAAATATTGTTTGTTGCTAGAGTTTTTTTTCCTTTTTGAACCTCATCCATCCATCGATTATCTTTACCCGCTTATTCCATTTTGGGTCACGGGGGTCGCTGGTGCCCATGTCCAGCAATCACTGTGCGGGGGGCGGGGTACACCCTGGACGGGTCGCAAGTCCATCACAGGGACACATAGAGACAAACGAGACAAACAACCATTCACTCTCTCACTCACACCTAGGGACAATTTAGAGTTACCAATCAATCTAACATGCATGTTTTTGGTCTGTGGGAGGAAACCGGAGTACCCGGAGAAAACCCTCGCATGCACGGAGAGAACATGCAAACTCCACCCAGAAAGGTCCCTGGACCGGGGTTTGAACCAAGGACCTGCTCGCTGAGAGGCAGCAGCTCTACCAGTTGCGC